ATCAGCTGCTTAAGCTGTCAGAGGTCTGTGGATCATGAAGAGAGGATCTAGTGACTATAGTTTTCAATTAGGCAAATGTAAAACAATAAAGTTTTTAAAATGATTGTAGGTGTAATAACATCATTTACTCACTGGATGGCAGCAGTGTTTGTGCTGAAGCTCACAGAAGCTCACTGAACACACACTGAGCTCTCATAGTTCAGTGATTTTATTACCTGTTGACATATTTCTCTCCTTTTATTTTTTCTTTCAAATTAGCTATCAAATATCACAATATCTAGGGGCTTTTAGTGATTTCCAACCCTCATATTTATAGACCTAATTTGTCTTGACCAAAATAAAGAAAAACATATGCTAAATTATGGATGATTACTGACAGACCTAAGTTTGTGGTAATAAAACAATTTTTTTCGTGTTAAAATTTTTTTAAGAGTGTGAACACTGAAGAAGGAGGTAAAAAGATGTTGCAAGGCACATCAAAATAAAAAAGCATTTTATTGCAACCTTATTAAAGTGACAGAAATTATAATTTCCACTGAAAAAATGATCTATTCAGCAACTACTGAATGGATTGTGCTGTGTGATAAACATTGTTTGTAACAGTTCAATGTAGATTACAGTTAGCTTAATCATTTATGTGAAGAAGTAAGTACACCCTGTGAAAAGTTATTTGGACAAACAGATATCTGGTCTTCATTTAAACAGTGTTAATAGGCAGTGATATAATTTAACAAGTGACATTTAAAATGAATGGTTTTGTCATCCTTTATATAACTGAAATTAACAGAAATGCAATTTCTTTATGTGTAAGAAGTAAGTGCACCCAAGAAACCCAAGGATATCTGGTCTGGTTCGATCTTTGTTACTGGAGTGTGTCATATCAAAAGAGCTCTTTGAGGCCTTCAGAAGGAAGGCTGTAGATACCTATGAGTCTAGAAGGGGTTTGAGAAGTGTTTCCAAAATATTAGAAGTCAATCTTCCACCGTCCGGAAGATCATCTACATGTTGAGAAAATTTAAAATGACTGCCTACATGTCCCGGCCAGGCTGGACCTGAGAGCAGACCGTAAGATGTGAAACCCTAAAATTTCATCACAGGATCTGCAAGCAGCTCTTGCCACTGTGGATGTAAAAGTGCATGGATTTACCATTAGAAAAAAACTGCACAGATTAGATCTACATGGAAGGTACGCAAGGAGAAAACCTTTGCTGTTTAAAAAGAACAAAAGGGCAAGACTAAAGATTGCTAATCAATATCTAGGCAAGGACCAGGACTTCTGGAACAATGTGCTTTGGACAGGCAAGTCAAAGAGAGTGTTGTTTGGCCACAGTACCAGACGCCATGTTTGAGAACCTCATACCAACTATAAAATTACAGTTATAGGATACCTACATACCTACATAACCTACATAAAGTTGTTTCTGCCAAAGGGGGGACACCAGTTACTGAAGCCAGGAGTGTATTTGCATTTTCAACAGAAAAATGACATCGCAGTTAATTTATGTTTAAAGAAATTGTTGCAATTTCCTTTTTTATTATGTAACGCTTATGTATACATACTGTTCAGCTGATGATCAAACACTGATATGCCCACATATGTTAAAAGAAAAAAGAAACATTTCATGGGGTGTACTTACTTTTTTAATGTCATATAGATACTGACACAAATGTACACCCATGACTCGGAGAAAGGTCTCCTAAATCAGAGCTAAAATCATGGCTAAAAGGTCTTAATCTTTTTAAGTGTGTGAGATGTTTGTGGCAGCTTTCTAATGAAAGTATGAAGCCAGCTTTGTTGAAAAGACATTTGGAAACTAAGTACGGAAATCTGACCACAAAACCATTTTATTTATGAATTGCTATGTTTAACTTTAGCTTTCTTAATTTCTCAAACGTTACTCAATGCAGAAACTTATTTGTTTTAGATTTACCACTATTTTACTATTTTCAGCATTAGGGCTGCAACAAACGACTAATTTGATAGTCGAATAATTGATCGATTACTGAAACGAATAATCAGTTATTCGGATTATGAATTACTACACTACCAAATAACTTTTAAAGTTTAAAGCTTTTAAATTTAGCTTGAGGTTGTTTTATGGATTTGCTAACGATAAAGACCATATAGATCAAGACCATTTAAGAATTCACTGTTTTAATGAACTTTCCTGCTAATACAAAAGATTAAAAAATTAAATTCCAATATATATTTCCGGTCAAAATTTATAACCAAGGATGTGCAAAGTAGCAGCAATAAAATATAACAAAACTAAATCAGTTTTCCTTTAATCGAATAAATAAAAAAATCAATGTGAACTTAAATGTTAAATTTAACCAGTGCGGTCTGTGCTCTGTGTATTCTGCTGTCTGTCTACACTTTGCTGCAACTTAACTCTACAATCACAGGTCTTTATTGAAACGGAGGAAAGTCAGCGTCTCTCTGTCCTCCTGCGAGAGTCTCGCTCTCCTCTGAGAGCAGACATTCACCGCTGCAGAGGAGACGCGCTCTGATGGAGCGGATGGGAAAGTGGCGAATGTTTGCGGCAAACTTCTCTATGAACAGTTAAATTTGAACAGTTTTGTGTAAAGTTTCATTTCAGTGGTAACCCTTTGTCCAGCTACCCTGTCTGTTTACAGAGAACTACCTCCTTAAACTGTTAGCAAGTGGAGCCAAACATTTGCGGAAAACAGAGAACTTTGCAATCGCTCTCCTGTGTTCGCCGAATCTGAGCTCACCGGCGGCCTCGGCATTAAGACGACAATGCAGTGTTTAAAAGTGTAAACGTTATCTGAAAAGTGAACAGGGTCGCTGTGAATAATTTGCTCCTCTGTTCCAACTCCGTTAACAATTCCAGAGAACCTACATTTCGAAATAGAAAAATGTTCCAGCTCAGCTCAGAACATGAAGTGGGACGGGATTTAACATTAACATCAGCTAACTAGCTCGCTAGCACAACTATCGCCACGTCCCAAACCACACACTTCTGCACTTCACACACTACACTAATGAGTGCACTTCTAATTGTATATGCGCTATTTTTACACAGTATTTAGTGAGCTAGTATGCGGTTTGGGACGCGGCGTATCTTACTGAGATGAATCTTTATTTGGTGAGTGGATGTGTTTCCTCTTCAGATGCTCCTGTATGGAGGATGTGCTCCCACGCCAGCTAAGGTCGGCTTTACAAACAGCACAACTGACCACCTTTTTTTGAGTTTAGCTCCTGCACTTTTTAGGATTTTGCTCTTGAGGCTGCCATCGCGCTGTTGTTAACTCTTCAGTCAGCGGTAATGTCAAAACGTTCCTAGCGAGTGCGTAATGACGTCACCAACTAATCGACTACTAGTTAGTCGCCAACTAATTTGGTCGTCGATTTTAGTCGACTAAGTCGAATAATCATTGCACCCCTGATCAGCATTATGTATAACAACTCGAAAACATGTAGGTGTTCACATCACAAAAACTGAATTAAATGTAAAAAAATAAGAAATTTTTTTTTTACATAAATTATACCACACTTACTCATCAAAGGTCAGTGAGGTCACATCAAGGTTTTCTATGAAAAAAAAAAATAAGCAAAAACTTCTAATGAATTCATGCAAATTGCTGCTGCAGTACCACTAAAATGACCATTTACAGAAATGTGCAGTGGGGTGATATTGTAATACATACAAATGAACAGAATCCTGTAGAATCCTATATCATGAGAGAATTTTAATTGCATGAATACAGTATTTTATTAGGAACACAATATTGAGTTTTTGCATTTATAATTGTCCTTGGATTTATAATTGTATTGTAATTGTACTGATCTACTGAAACACTGGCTATGAAATAGGAAGTGCTTCACTGGGGAACATGGCGCCAGGGGCCCAATCTTTACTCATCATATAGATACTGACACAAATGTGGACCTGTGACTCAGAGAAAGGATTTCTTAACAACATACCTCAGCATTTAGCTTCCATCAACACTACACAGACAGCCCTAACATCTGTTTATCTCCCTCTCATTCATAATGATAACCTTTTCCCACATGATATATTCATTATATCTCATCTTAAATAGGTAATGTAAACATTTAGATTAATGCTAGTGGGCAAAGTGGTGTGCCTTGAGAACATTAGCTTGTTTGAGACGATAGTATGTAAACAAATTGCCATTTTTTATTAATTAAAAGGCAGCTGGGATGGGCTCCAGCACCCCACCGCGACCCAGAGGGATGGGCGGTTTAGATGATGTATGTAGATGACGTATTAATTAAAAGTCATTTTTTATGTGGGGCCCATTACATTTTTACATTAAGGCCCATAAGGTTGTAGTTGCACCACTGCTATCAGTAGCAGACATCAACGCATAGTTTCCCACAGCAGAATATGAAGCCTTTGCTTAAGACCCCCATGTATGTGACTAAGGGATAATGTTACCCATGAAGCAATGAAACAGCAGAGTGTCTACAATGAAGATGCTGCTAAAAAGAACCCCAGTGATATTATACAGAGCCACCCCTTTACTCACAGCTTCACACTCTGAGGGAGAAAACTGAAAGATAATGTTCATGACTAAAGTTTACTTTCACAGTTTCTAATTCAGATTCTCAAGCAACTAAAACACTACAAGTTCATTAGTCTAGTCAGTCTGACCAACAGCATCTGGTATAATAGATGACGCATGACACTAGAGAGGCCAGGCCTGACCCACAGAATCTCAAACTTCTAAGTCTAAGTTAAACTATATATGTTAAAAGAGGATAAAAGAAACAAGAGTGGTGCTACAGTCATCTGTGGCAAGACAGCATGTTTGGCCTCGCTGTCTCTTTGTGGACAGGATGGCCCTCCATCTTGTGGTCTTGAATAAAGACCCAGGAAGGAAGTGGCTGAAAGATAAAAGGGAGAAATAAAGACAGAGTGCGAATGCACAAACACACCTGCCCTGTCTCTGTTTGCTCAATCATAGTAAAGTGTAGGGCAAGTAGAGAGCAGAGGAGTGATCAACTCACTTATTATTTATAAGACTGACTCTTTATTTTAGTCAGAATTCATTCATTGAGACAATCTTAATCTCGCCTGAATCTGTTATTTTCTAGTCCTTTAAGAATCAGCGGTGTTTGAAGGGTGAAACTGTCATGTCTACCAGATCAGGAAATATCACAGCAGCAGTGATCCTCATATTACTGACAGGTAAACTTTTACAATTTTATATTCATTTGTGCAAACTTAAAAGTGTGTAAGCTAGAAATGGCTTTCAACATGTCCTGTAGTTTTAATTATGGTCTTTTTGTTTCAGAGCTATCGAAGCCCTAAAGGGCCTGGATTTGAATGTTTTTTTGTGCTCCATTTTTCCATGATAATGAGTTATTTTCATTTGTTTTCTTGAGATCTCAAATTCATATCCTCACAACATAACAAATGTTCTTTTCTCAAGATCTCGATATATTTATGCCATTATCATGACATAACGAATGTCATGTTGGTACAGCCATGTTTGTTATGTATTGTAATGATATAAATATTTTGAGATCTTGAGAAAACAAAAATCACTGTTATCACAGAAAAAAATAGCACAAAAAAGGACATGTCCTTTTAAGGCTTCCATACAGAACATTTTACAAACTTCAAATGAATCAGGCTCCAGCTATATCAGCAATGTTCCACTCCAGACATTTTTGTGCTCAAACACATTTTTGTGCTCAAACACACCTGGTTCAGCTCAGTAGTTACCTGTTAACGCCCAGGTTTATTAGGTGTGGAGCAGGGAAGCTGGACACTGTGAAAGCTTTTAATATTTGACTTGGAAATCTTCTCTATCATTTTAAACTGTACAAATCTCCATTTACAGTAATTTAAACTAGGGATGCATTGATATTTTTTTTTTCAGAAAGTATAAGTAAATTTTTTAGTACTTGCTGATACCGATACTATAACGAGTAACCTACTTGGAATGAAACAGTTATAAGTGTAAATGTGTTCAATGTACCTTAAGAGTTAAATTTTCAAAGTCTAGCTGATTTTAAATGAAGTGCTGGTAGCTATGTAACGTTACTTACCATGAATCGAGTAATGTGGGTTTTGTTTCACGTCAGAGAGTGGGTTTTGTTCCATGTCAGAGAGTGGGTTTTGTTTCATGTCCGTGAGGGGGTTTTGTTCCACATCAGAGAGTGGGTTTTGTTCCATGTAAAAGCATTTCTGCCTCTTTCAACAACAGTCTCTGTAGCCCAGTTACAGCTGAAATCACATTCCAGGCTAATGCCTCTGAAGAGCTCACTTCACTGGGGTTTTACAGCTTGTTACGAGTATTTTTGGCTGGTTGATCTGTAGTTTAATGTCCTCTAATATCAAATATTTTACAGTTTTAAATCAGTTCCTCTGTGGTTTTTAAAACCACCAGCCAAATTCACACTTCTTGAGTAGCTCACAGCAACAGCAGCAATAGTTCACACTGTGGTCACACTGTCAGTGGGAGTGTGACAGTTGCCCCTTCACACCTGAACATGTGCTCCTGTTGTGTGTGTGTGTGTGTGTGTTCCAGAATTTCAGGCTCAGCACAGTGTAACTCTCTCCTCTCAGAGTCTCTGTGTTGTTACTGGATCTGCAGTAAAAATCTCCTGTAAATATACAACAGCTGATTCCTCCAGAGTCAGAGAGAGAGAGTGGTATCAGCTCCAGAGCTCTGATGGAGAAGAACGAGTCCTGAGTAAAGATCCTCAATACTCAGCACGAGTTTCTGTAAGAACAGAGCAGAAAGACTGTGAGTTAATACTGTGGGATGTGAGAGTGAGAGACTCTGGAGTTTATAACTTCAGATTTAGAACATCAAGCAGTGACTGGATATCAGCTTCATCTGGAGTTAATCTGACTGTTACAGGTAAATAAACACACAAAAAGTTTCAGTCTTTTTCAGCCTTTTTAAATAAGATGTATGTCATATATGATGTGATGTGTGTCTAGAGTTGCAGGTGAAGGTGGATCGTATGTCTCCAGGACACAGAGAGATTAAACTGACCTGTAGCTCCACCTGCAGACCCAGTGCAAAACATTCCTACTATTGGTACAGGAATGGACAATACAAGATGGATACAGCTGATTCCACCATTCTCCTAGACACCACTCGTTCATCTGATGAGGGCAGCTACTCCTGTGAGGTGTCCGACAGCTGGCAGTTATCTCCTCCAGTGTGTAAGTGGCACTCAGCCTAAACCTCAACTACCCCAACTTTATTCCAGCATTCTTTATTCCAGGAAAACTGCAAGTCTGTAAGTTTCATAGAAAATTATTTGTAATTGCCTGAGGAATGAGAGCAATCCTCAGTAATGCTCAAAAATGCATATGTCTCTCCCATTGGCTTTTAAAAGGGGTAAGTACAACCCCAATTCCAAAAAGGTTGGGACACTGTGTAAAATGTAAATAAACCCATTTTTTGTAAATAGACCCATATTTTTTTCATAATAGAACATAGAACACATATCAGATGTTGGAAGTGAGACATTCTACCATTTAATGAAAAACATTAACTCATTTAGAACTTAATGGCAGCAACACATCTCAAAAAAGTTGGGACAGGAGCAACAAAAGGCTGGAAAAGTAAGTGGTAATAATATAAAACAGCTGGAGGAGCAATTTGCAACTAACTCACATAACTGGATATAAAAAAAGCATTTTAGAGAGGCAGAGTCTCTCAGAAGCAAAGATGGGCAGAGGTTCACCAGTCTGCAAAAAACTGCATCTAAAAATTGTGAAACAATTTCAGAAAAATGTTCCTCAACGTAAAATAGCCAATACTTTGGATATCCCATCATCTGCAGTACATAATATCATCAAAAGATTCAGAGAATCCCTGTGCACAAGGGACAAGGCCGACGGTCAGTATTGGATGCTTGTGATCTTCAGGCCCTCAGGCGGCACTGCCTTGAAAACACGCATGATGCTGTACTGGAAATCACTGCATGGGCTCAGGAGCACTTGCAGAAATAACTGTCTGTGAATACAGTTCATCATGCAGTCCACAAATGCAAGTTAAAGCTGTATCATGCGAAGAAGAAGCAATATGTCAACACAATCCACAAACGCCGTTGTCTTCTCTGGGCCAAAGCTCATTTCAAATGGACAGAGGCAAAATGGAAAACTGTTCTGTGGTCAGATAAATCAAAATTTGAATTTTTTTTTGGAAATCACAGATTCCGTGTCCTTGTTATCAGCACACAGTTCAAAAGCCTGCACGTCTGATGGTATGGGGTTGCATTAGTGCCTATAGTGTGGGCAGCTCCCATGCTGACAATGTTGCTCTCAGGGAAGGACTTGTGTATTTCAGCAAGACAATGCTAAATTATATACTGCATCCATGATTGACTTTGCCTTTACTTAGTCTAAATTTTTGTTGGATATCACACCTTTGGTTGTGTAAGTTTGATTGTTGGTTACACTTAAACTCAGTTTTTGGTGATCTTTTTGTATATTTGCAGTTTTTCAATTGTATGTTGTCATGCACATGATTAAATGCACTGTCTTGTTCACACTATCGGTTGGGCTTGTTTGGTGTGTCAGGTGGAGATTCACAAACATTCTGACAATCGCGCTTTGAAAGTTGCTAAAAAGTAGTGCGCTACTTTTCAAAAAGTAGCCAAAATATAGCCACTACTTTTTCTGGAAAAGTAGCTAAATTATAGCTAGCTACAAATTTTGGGAAAGTAGCTACAAAGTAGCTAACTACTAATTTTACAGTAGCTATTCCAACCCTGACTATTGTCAAGTATGGATGTGGATGAATCCTAAATGACAATTTTTTCCGGTATATTTTGCATTGTTGGGGTGCAAGATCCAGTATTTAAACTTCTATGTAGTGCACTATGTAGGGAGCAGGGAGCCATTTGAGTTTCAGCTCCAGCGTGAGAAAAGGGGCGCTGCTGGATTGGTGCTAAATTCAACTTTGTGGTAATTCGGTGACAAAAAAGAACTTATAAAGTGAAGGTTTTTGCATTAAACAGTCCTGTGTTATCATATGTTCATTGTTATATGACAAAAAGTTAAAAAGTTCATGAAATGACCGCAATATAAAGCAATGGCCGACCGAATATTCTTCTCATAATTCAGCGGTCCATGGTTGCTTGGAAACGATACCATACTCTAAAAGAACTACACTTCTTGGTGGAATACTTCTTTATGTCGATTATTATAAATAAGTAAAATAATAATAGAATGATCTAAAAAATAATACCTTTATTTCTTTTCTGGAAAAAAAATTACTGAAGTAGTTTATTAAAGGAATAAGCCACTTGAGGCCATGTAAAAAAATTGCAGTAACATGTGGCCTCTGGTGGCTTAATGCTTTAATAAACTACAGAAATAATCATGACTACTCGGCTCTGATTGGTCAGCCTACTGATTAATGCATCCACGAATCACAAATCTAACAAGCTTCATTTAAAACTTTCCAGCGTCTCAGACAGCCAGCTTCTGATTTCTTGTAAAAGACAGTGTTAATATGCATGTGAATGTTCTCAAATGCTGACCTGTGTTTTTTCCGTCTGTAAAAATCAGACTGCGTGAAAAGGCCTTAACTCACCACAAATTTTTTACACTCATGCAAACGTACCTATACATATTCATCATGTGGCACAAACATGCAGAACATTCTGTCACAAAGCATAATATAAGAGTCACTGCACTAAATTTTTTTACATGAAACTTATGAACACAAAGTCTTCTGTTTTTGTCTGTACTCACTCCCCTCCAGCAGCAGCTTTGCGCTCCCTGTGTCTGAGCAGAAAAACAGATCACACACGGTGTGTCTTGTGATTTCACTCAACTGATAAGACTTGCGTAAAGGAATAATAGATTTTTTTTCTCAATATACTTGTCCTTGTCAATTAGTCCAAAGTATCCGATGCTTTTTTTAAAACTGCTTTTCATCTTAAACTGGTGTTTTTCAGTCAGCGGTTTGTGATCGCCTGTCACTAGTTCAATTCAGGAAATGTGCAATATACTAATATCTGTTGTTCCTACTTGCACACTGCGTTCCACTTATTGGATTGATTGCCGTCTCCCCTAACTTACAATGCCCTTTTTGTGTTTCAGGTGTTTCTACTGATTCAAATCAGAACATCTGCTGGAGTTTGACTTACTCCCCCACAACTATCTGTGCTCTGATTGGCTCATCAGTGGTCATCCACAGTTACTACACCTTCCCTGATAATCAGAAGGTCACTAAATCAGTGTGGTTCATTAAAGAGCAGGCTGATGCTGAGCCTGTAGATGTGAGAGAGGATGAGGAGTATCAGGGACGAGTGTGGTATACACAGAGCTCCCTGAATAACTGTGTTATGATCTTCACTCAGCTGAGAGAGAGTGACGCTCAAACATACAGATTCAGATTCTACACTGATGGGGGTGAATATACTGGAGAACCTGGAGTCACTCTGTCTGTCACAGGTAGAGCTGCATAACATGAAATAACTTAGGTAACTATAGGAAAATTGTATTAATGAAAATAACCAAACTTTGTTTAAAATCTCCTGCAGATCTGAAGGTTACAGTGTCAGACACACACAGTGGAGGAAAGAAACTAAACTGTAGCAGCACCTGCACTCTGCCCAACTCCCACACTTACATCTGGTACAAGAATGGACAGCCTGTATCTGTACAGTACAGAAACAGTACAGGACAGTATCTGTATGTCAGTACTGTGAATGCAGGCAGCTACTCCTGTGCTGTAAAAGGACATGAGCTCCGCTCTCTTGCTGTCTGTAAGAACTTCACTTTAAACTTCACTCACTCTGTGATCAGTTGGCATTTTGTTGCTTTAGATTTTTCAAACTTGTTGGCCAAAAAGAGATGCCAACTGTCTGTGTATAAAAATGTGTTTTTCTTTATAGACTCTCCTAGAAATACCAGTGCAGTGATCATTCCCTCTGGAGAGAGAGTGGAGGGACTTTTAGTGACTCTGAGCTGCAGCAGTGATGCAAACCCTCCTGTTCTCATCTACTCCTGGTTTAAGCAGAGAGCAGCTGCAGACGCACCACTGACAACAGGCCAGAATTACACCATCACCAACATCAGCTCCCAGCACAGTGGACTCTACTACTGCACCGCTCACAACCAACTAGGACAGCAGAGCTCAACACCCACCCATCTGGATGTGTTACGTAAGAACATCACAGTTTCAGTTTTACATGTTGTTGTCCTACATACAGTAATCAGTAATATTTTTGAACTCACTGTGCAGCATAGAACGTGTTTTTTTCACTGGGTTCAACTACCGTCACAAAGGGTTCTGTTTAGTGTAGCAAATTAAATTGCTAGCTGAGTCTCTGTTTTGTTCAGACCCTCCCAGACCCCCGTCTGTATCTGAGCATGTGTTTGGCAGCTCGGTTACGCTGGTGTGTGTCAGTGACTCCAACCCTGCCAGCTCTTATACTTGGTATAATAAAACAGGAAGTGATGTCATATTGATTGGAAATGGCACCAGTTTAACTTTACCAGCTGGAGAATTTGGACTTTTCTTCTGCAAAGCAGAGAATCGATTTGGATCATCCAACTCATCAGAATGGTCTTTTACAGCAGGTGTGTTCTGCTTTGAATTAATTACCTGATTGCGACGGCTTACTTGCTTGCTTACTTACTAACTTACTTACTTACCCAGTAGTTAACTTCAGTTTTAGTTCAGTTTAATGAGCAGCGTCTCTTGTTGCTTCCACCCTCCTCTTTTCCTTTAGCAGTTCTTCTTATTCTGTTATTTTTCACTCATTTTGTTTAACATGTTGATGTCTCCACACTGATACAGATAACACAGCAGTGAAATATGCAGCTTCTTCAGTCACTGTGATTCTGTTTCTATTGTTTGCTGCTTTTCTGTGGATGAGGTGAGAACCTGAAACCACTTGTACAATATTACAAATTCTCTCAATTCTGTATGTGTAAGGAAAATTGCCAACCACACCACCTCTCATATCCTCCAGATTCCCAGATTCACACACATTCCTCAGTCTTCCAAAAGGGGTCTTATATTTTAGCATAATGTAGAAGCTGCTCAGAACTCAGCCAGATACACAGCCAATTCTTTCCTTTTTTACAGTCATACAGATGTATGCAATGTATTCACCTACCCACTCTGAGGCTGCTATCTATAACAGTTTACACCTGGTTGTTTAATGAAACTGGTAACTGGATTGTAACATGATTTTATCCACCACACCTACATCTGGTACACTTGGTAATCAAATGTGTCTCTGGTTTGTTAGAGTGAAATCTGACTGCTGTATGGCTAGTAATATGCCAATCAGCTCACATACAACAACCAATAGCCTGCATTGTTTCCTGTTTACTCTTGTATTCAGAAGATGATTGCACACTGAACACACAAGGTGGCAATCATATAACACAGTATTAAATTGGCTTTATACCAAAGTTTACAAATAGACTTAAAAATATTAATATCAATTTAAAATATTTTTTTTGTGTATTTGTCATAGTGTAAGTATCAGGTATAAATGGGGTCTAAACATTCTGACCTTTGCAGGGTTGAGTATGACTGTGTATGTGTACTATGTGCTAAATCGTGTTATGTATAGGTTAATTATAATCTCAACTTCAGCCTCAAATAAGAACTCAATTCTGTAAACGTTAAGAACCTAAAATAGAGTTAACAATCATTTACTGGATTTTGTGTGATCAGGAGGAAGAGAAGAGCAGAGAGATGCACAGATATTCAGGTACTGAGAGAGGATTTCACTCTTTCTCTGTCTACATACTCCTAAAAAGCTGCTACTGAATAAAGACTGAAGTTGTTTTCCTCGTCTCTCTAAAAGACTCCAGATCCTGCAGACCACACACACACAGCACTGAAGCCCACCACCATGACCTCAGATTATGACACGCAAGTAAGTCTACAGTCTTTATTTCTGTGTGTGTGTGTGTGTGTGTGTGTGTGTGTGTCTGTGTGTGTGTGTGTGTCTGTGTGTGTGTGTGTGTGTGTGTGTATGTGTGTGTGTGTGTGTGTGTGTCTGTGTGTGTGTGTGTGTGTGTGTGTGTGTGTGTTGCCCTGCAGAGTGTGTTTGGTTGTGTAAGTTTTCATTTTTGTCTTCAGCATCTTACAGACTCTCCCAGTGACACGTACTCAACCTTAAACCCTGAAACCATGAGCTCTGATTACAACACTCTGACAGTAAGTCTGCAGTGGGAGAGTTTCTTTCTCATGTGTGTGAGTTTGTGTGTTTATTCACTAGTTCAATATATAATAGTTTCTGTGATGTGATTTTTTTCAGGCTGTACATCCTCACAGAGAGATGAGAAGAGCTCCAGAAATGAAGAATGAGAGGAGTTTTGTGATTAAATAGCTTTATGGGGGTCATAACAAACCACATACTGTCTTACAGTAGAATTTTTCAACTGAGTTATTTTTATTTCTGAAATATCTTTTTCAGGTGTTGTGCATATTTACATAAAAATAAGCCAGAATCAAGCAGTTCTACCAATTCCGTCAATAGACGTTAGAGGTTTTGAACCATGTATGTACAACCCCATTTCCAAAAAAGTTGGGATGCTGTGCAAAATGTAAATAAAAACAAAGTGCGATGATAGAAAGATTAAGACAGCTGGAACGAGGCCAGTAAAAAAGCTCAGAAAAGCATCAGAGGAAGGGTCACAAAGGCAACCCAGCTGAGTGACTAACCACAAGTGTGAACCAGCAGCACATCTGAGATTAAAGCTGTTTTCTTAGACAGACAGTATATCTGAGCTATATAGACAGACAGGGAATCTGAGCTGTATAGACAGACAGGGTATCTGAGCTGTACAGACAGACAGGGAATCTGAGCTGTATAGACAAACAGGGTATCTGAGCTGTACAGACAGACAGGGTCACTGATCAGATGAAGTTTCTCAGGAAAATTGTTAAAATGTCTGTAGCGTCACTTCATCAATAAAAGATTAAAACAGTGTCTGTAAGTGACCACACTTCAGTAACAATGTGAAAATGACCTGCAATGACCTCACTTTCTCATTAGAAATGCTGAAATGTTTGTAGCTCTAAGAAGTTTGTAAACATTAGGAAAAAAATAAAAACAAAGTGGGCTGTTTAACATTCAATCAGGGCATCTCTACTCACCTGCCAACCAATCAGGACAAGCAGGCGTATCTACATGTCTGTCAGTCATGTTGTGCATCCACAGCAGACAGCGGGGAGCTGTACCTTAGTTATCTATCTACAAACTTGAGTTCTGATAAGATATGAGTTTTTCAAAGTAACAGCGAAGAAAATAAACCCAAAAATTGCTCATTTCCTCTACCACCACAGCCACTACCTACGGTAAATACCTTTTTTAATTTTATATATGTTCAGTTTTCACAGCTAATATTTCTATATGCTTCTCGATTTTTCCCAATAATGCATCATAGACACACTGTCTTAGCTCAACACCTTTGAGGTAAAATGAAAGCTTTTTACTCCGTTGTTTACACATTTGTAAAAAAAGTATATACTTGCCATTAACATAGTAATTCATCAGAAGCAGAATAATCCTACCTGAAACACACAGCAGGATGATGAGTTATAACATCCCACATTCAGAGCTCATGATTCCACTTTTACTGTAAAATAGAGAATAATATGTTTGTGTAGTTCAACACATGAATGTAACAATCTAACAATCAAATGCTTCATAGTTATTTTACAGAGAAAACTATAGTCCTTTTTTTGAAAAAGAAAAAAAAAAAACTTGTATATATTTATTGACAGAAAATTATGTAGAAAACAGTGAAGATGAAAATCTTTACTACTTACATTCTTCTGTAAAGTCTCTCACAGCTGTGGAACTGAGTGGACAGAGCAGAGTGTGAGCAGAGTGAATGAACAGTGTGTGGGTGAGGGGGGTGTTTGTGGTGGTGGAGTAAGTGTTCAGTGTTTCAGGCAGTGGTTTTTAGTGACTCTTTCCTTCCCTTTTATAAGAGCTCATAGTTAAAAACAGAAGGCACTTTAAGTGGACTGTCATTTATTTACTGTTGTCTGTTGACTGTTAAACACTTCAGGCTGATTAATAAGAATAAAACTACACAGATTGAACATGCAGACAGATATACAGACTAAACACACTAATGAAGAAGTGATACAGAACCTCTGTGTAGATTCATTTCTGGCCAAAACTACATGATCCACAATGCTTTGCTGAAACAGGAAGATGAGGTTCACAGTAGAGGGAGGATCTCCAGCAAGATGGCTAAACGTAATTCCAGCTAATCATTGCTGTAGCTAGAATGTAACAGTAATGCTGGCTAGTCAGTGAAACTCTAGTGGACATCTTTGTGTTTTTATAATGAAAATTTAACTAAACGATGTATGTGTGTTAACATGCTGAAGGGGGGCCTTTTGCCCCATGTCTGCTGGGACCCCCTGGTCTAGCTTTACACTTACATTTCAAAAGAAATAAATTCTCTAACCCAAATGCATCGCTCTCTCCTCAACTCCTGCCTCACAATCACTGACTTTTAACAAATTTACTTGTACCATTTTGTATAAATGCACAGAGCACTATTATACAATGTCACAAAAGTTCTGGGGTAATAAATATCAGGAATGCAGTGACCCAGAATAAATGCAGAATAAATTTAAAATAAACTATAAGCAATCAGTAAATGTGTCAAAATTAGATTTGACCCCATAATTTCATCAGGAAAAAAGGTGGAGTAGAATATTATTTTGGGTTCTTCTACCCCAAGTTACACTATTTCTATGTCATGGTATCAAAAAGGTATGTATTAAGATGCAAAATTCTATTGATACATTGATGTGGATATTTTCACACATACTGGCCCTGCTGGATTTCAATAGAGAGAGACCACAGTTTCTGTTTCAGCAGGTTTACAGGAAAAACAAAGAACAATAAAGAAAAACATTTAGAGCTGTAATGTCTTTGATTAAGAGTGTAATGATGAGACTAAAACTGATGTAAGCTACTTCTGTTTCTGACAAATTCACATCTTCCTGTTTCACAACCACTGCTGTGTTACGCAACACACTCTCTCTCTCTCTCTCTCTCTCTCTCTCTCTCTCTCTCTCTCTCTCTCTCTCTCTCTCTCTCTCTCTCTCTCTCTCTCTCTCTCTTTGTGGAAAGGGCAGTGTGGTGTTTATCGGCATGGTTCATCCTACACTGTTAGCCCCCAAAACCCCCTCTGACTCTGAGTGTGCCTCACTTTCACATCAGCTCTGTGCACACACACTGCTGCCCTCCAGTGACTAAATGATGTTATTACACCTACAACCATTTTTAAGACTTTAATGTTCTACATTTAGATAGATAGATTGATAGATTTGGCTGACTGGAAAAACAATCACTAGATCTTCTCTTCATGATCCACAGACCTCTGACAGCTTAAGCAGCTGATGATCATCTCAGACCAGATAAACAACACAACACTCACCATGAAACTTATTTAAACCTGCATGTAGAAAAGGTGGTAATTTTTGGCTAGATAACTCTATTTAGGGAAATCTTTCCACAATTATTTGGTCTTTTGTTCTTCTAAATGTGCTTTATGTGAATAATAAATAGCTTTACAACTTAAATAAAGAGCTCAGTGTAGATTTAGTATCTGATAAAGTCTGTTAAGCTCTGCTTACAACATCAACAAACGAAAAACGACTAATAGTGACTGAACCTGGTACCGTTAGCTGGCAGCTATAGCTAAGTATCAAAATAAGCCATTTACTGAAAAACTACAGAGAACTTCCACTGAGGGTCTGTTAGAACAGTTTTACTGCAGAACAAGACATGAACTTCACTTCAGACTGAGAAACTAAATCAACACTCAAAGTTATCAACGCTGTCAAACTGTAAAAGCTGTTAATCTGAAGTGTCTGAGCTCTGAGCTTAAAGTCAACCTCAAATCAAAACTGATGTTTTTACCTTGTTAGTTTGAGTCTCTGATCATATTAATGATGATTCATAATTAGAAACACAGTTTTTATTTTCTGTCATCTTCCATCAAAATGTAATAACTTGCCTTTAAAAGGTCTTCTGAGTTTTGATGATGTCATCAGTGGGCAGAAAAAATAATATTAACCAATAATATCATGTTTCACCTCCCCCTCCCACCACGCCCACCTATCATCCAGTGAGTCTCAGCTGGTTCAGAGACCCTCCCTGATACCGAGTTTCACTCAGAAATATGTTACAGTACTGAAGGAAATGCGTTATGATTTCTGATTGACTTTAAAGTAACAGGGACTGTCTGTGTTCACACTGTCAATCACCTCAACAGCCCTTTAAAATCATTACTTCATTCATTTATAGAACAGAATAATGTAACTGATCAATACATAATAAACAACATTCACATTCAAACGTTTCTTCTTCTCTGTGATTCGTGTTCAGTTCTAGTTTATTATAATGAAGTGAATCATCAGATTAAACTGATCATAGTTTTCATGAACTGACAGATTCTCACTGTAGTCTTTAGAATCAGTGCATCAGTGAGAGCTGATCTGTTGTTCCTCTTCTAATATTTCACATTTATTTAAGCTCTTTAACACATTTTACTGTTTTTCAGCTTTAATTATTCAGCATCATAACTGCACTCAGTAGAAGTAGATCTGACTAAAAGTGATAATTAAAAATGACTACTTCACTGTTCACAAGACCTTTTTAAAACTAATCAAGGGTTTTTGTGAGACACATAGTTTAAACAACAAAACATTAATGTTGGTCTTTCAATGTATCATTAGCTCATGTTAATTTATGATTTGTTAAAATGCTCATCAAATATCAAACGAAAGATTTACTGAAACCAGCAAGAACACAAAAGATTTTACCAGCGGCCAATGTGGACTTTATCCTAATAACAGCTCTGGAATTTTTGTGGATAGTCCCTTTTGGTTCCATGCCAACCTAACTATGACCTGCCCAGTCTCAAAGGACTTCCATAAATCTACCTAGAGTGCATTATCTAAAATATAAAGAATTAGATCCTCTACTATTATTTACAGAAACAGGTATCCTCAGAGAAGGCGGGAGGCAGCACAGCACACTGTGTTTGTTTTGATCAGCAGCGTTAAAGGGGAATTCCACTGATTTTTAAAAATATCTGTATAATTAAATCGTTAAGACAAGTCCTTTAGTAGAACAGTAGAGTCGAAATGCTCCTGTCAAGAGAAACTTGCCAACTCAGAATTAAACATTTTCATTACAGTGTTGGATTTGGATAGTAAAAATAGCTATATTTGTGTTTTGGACCCCTGATTCCTATTACTGCCATTATAAAGACGTTTTTTCTACATTGAACCATTTCACATCTAAATGTTTGAGTTCTACTGAATTTTTGAAAATTTGGTGAAATTCCCCTTTAATTGGAAGAGACTCCTGCTGCATCACTAATGTATGCCTCATAGCAAGCCATAGAGAGACAGAAGTAAAGGCAAGAGCTGTAAATTTCAGTGTCTCAGTAATTTGAGCGTTTGACTGGGATTCTGTTGTATTTTTCTAAATATGC